AGCATGTCCTATGTAACCATCCATTGCACCATTCAAGTCTAGTGATTTTTTATAATGTGTCAGGAAATTTTGAATAACCCCGTATATTTATTCGTTGCCTCTGATAGTTAAATACAAAAAATTTGCTATCATCACTGACAAGTTTTAAAAACAAAAAAAATAAGACCAGATTCATGTCAAGAATACTGCAACCAGGATTTTTTTTACTACTGTTCTATTTATTCTATTGTGTTTGTCACATAAAAGTATTTTATGGCTTAGATTTTACTGAAAATTACTTCAGCTGTTTTCACATTCCATTCCAGCACAGTTAATAATTTCAATATGATTAAATGAATATGGCCTGGTAAAATGACCTCCATTCAGAAAACAAATAATATTTTAATCAGTGCTTTTCCCTAAGTCCAGAATCCATTCTGAGGACACACTCTCATAAGGCAGATTCTATTAACCCCAGTGACAAGTGACTATGAAAATGATGATCAGCAGAATGGGCACACAGCTTAACACAGACTTTGAACCAAGGTGGGGGCCTAGATGGTATGTTTCACTTGCATAAGGTTTTATCTTTTGCACAGCTGAAGGCTGACTGTGAGTAGCAAAATCCACACACAGATCTGACAAGGGACTCAACCCAGAACCCTGTGAATCAACCAAGCACCCTTTTTCTGTATTAGTTAACATATAAATCACAATGCACATTAATCTGACTTTATTGTTGTATGGCATACTCAGCATCTTTTAAAATCCAAAGCACCACATTCAAAATTTTAACAAAAATGAAGAATATATAGGAGCTGGGGTAGCTCAGTACAGTGTCAACTACAGACTGGATGATCAAAGTACAATCACCAGTAGGGGCAAGGAAATTTTTATTCTGGCCTCTGCATACTTCAACCACAATTTTAGTAATATCACACTCTTCCACTAATATGGAAAACTAAAGGCAAAATATAATTAGACTGCATTCCGGACTGGCTCCAGATTCACTTAGCCATCCAAGAGCACATTCCAAATTTCAGGTATGAGACGCAGTGCATGCGTACACTGAACACCAAACATTAAACAATCTGCCTGATATCAATGAATGGTAACTACCTTAGGTGGAGGGGGTACAGTCCATTGGTGCAGATCACTTCTGCGATGTATCAACAACCTAGTCAAACAAAGGAGCCTTCATGTACAAGATGTTCAGTTAGTAATATTAAATACAGCTTGAATTAGGTGTTCCTTGCACGAAATCAACACATTAGTGGAAGAATGTGTTCATATGCATAAAACATCTCTGAAACTAGAGAACAAATTTTAACAAGACTTTGGTAGCACAAGGGATGAGGGTATTATTATGAAAGCTTCTGGACATAATGAGTTCATACTGGTCCAGTGTACACCATACTTCATTTAAAGCTTTTAGGCAACCCAAAGTTCTGTGATCATGTTCATAAAGATTTTCAACAGATCCTCTCACAGACTGCAGCCCATTTGCAAAGTCACCACTTTTAACATCCTGTTTCTCCAATATTTATCATTAATTCTAAACCCGAATATCCAAAGCAGTGTCTTCCCTGAGATTTTATGTGCATTATATGTATTTATTTTTGTTGTTGCTAGTGTTAGAACTACTGTAATTTCTTTTTAAAACTCTGGTTCTGGGGATTACATAATTGATGTGATGCTGTTGAGAAGTGGACCACAAAGATTAAAGGTAAACAACTGCCCAACTAAGCAAACATGCCACAAGGGGGTATGTATGAAAGAATTCCATGGATTCTTAACATCAGCACTAGATCAAGATAAGCAATCAACTTTATGATCTTCCCTCTTTTCTCACTGGATAGGTACCGGTACCAATACGGACAGATTGACAAATATAAAAACCCCTACTCAGGCAAGAACATAACACCAGTCATCCAGCCGCTATCCAGAATCAGGAATGCAAAGGTTTAGAGAAAATATTCCTCCATGGGATGTATTACTACTTCAAATAATACCTCAATCTTAGATAATATTTGTCATGCCTATTGTAATAAACAGGAATTTAAATTTCAGTATAGCAGACTCTGGTAGCATCAGTAGTACCAGCTTAATTAGAGAAACAGTATGTCTTCCATAATCTGCCCTACATGTACGCAATGTTACATCGTCAGACTGTGTGACACAGGCATAAACTGATCCATGCAGTGCACCAGAAACTTAAGTGCATCGCCCTGTCCACATGCTAAAGCAAAATGCCTTACCTGTTCATTTAGTGCCAATAGCTATAAATGTTACTATATTTAGTGCATATGGCTGTCTTAGAATATAAGATGGAGACAGTAAGCATCTATGAAACCGCAGTAAATTTCTACAAGATTACATGGGGCAACATCACTGACGACAGCCATCTTCATACTCACCACTGTGATAACCTGAAATCTCACAGTAGTGATCTCTTTGTTTTACAAAATGCATTTATGTTGATATTAAACTTCTCTGAACAGTGCTCCATTAAAACAATTATATTTTTAACATCACACTTAATGGTTAGGAACCAACACTATTGCTTTCAAGGCACACAAGTGGAATGACATGAGCCACTATGGAGAGGGCTTAGCATTATTTTATCTGTGGGCGAGACGAGATATTCGGATATTCTGAAATGACTGCAAGCCAAGAGTCTCAATTCTGAAGTTAATAACTGGTATTAAATAACCTAACAACTATTCACACTGCCAAAGCATATGTTACATAGACACAAAATGACACAAATTTAATGTTATTAATAATTAATCTGGATGCAATACCTAGAACTCTGGTTGCAGTTCTTAAAGTGATCACATGCACTGTAAATGAAAATAAAAGGATAAATATTACGAACCATAAAATTTGTATCTGTCAAAATCTAGGGTTTTTTTACATTTATTTATTTTTTCCTCTCCCCCTTACAATTTTAGTACTTTTTTTTAAAAATTAAATTTTATAAAACATATCAAATTTTACTGAAATATTTTATGGTATCAAAGTCCACTTCTTCGTCAGGAAAAATTAATATCAACGTAAATACTTAAAGACATACGCACAGCATGCAAGCATCTGGTACCAATCGCTGTTTTAACAAATCCACATCTTATATTCCAGGCATCATACATCAAACATGATGGCAGAATGGGCTACTACACATTGCGCAAGTCACAGGAGGGCACTATATCAAGAACACAGGCAGCCAAGCAAGCAAGATCAAACTTCTACCGTCCCTCAACATACAGAGCCCAGCACACTCTGACAACATTAACTATGGCAGTGGATGATGGCGATATAATGCACAGAATGGACCTCCACCTGACAGGGAGCGTAATGGTATCTTGACACCCCTGTACTTTAATAAGCAAAATGAGATAATTCTCATAATTGTATTTTTCTCTGAGCCTCCTCTTTATTAAGCCTACTATGTACACACAAGTTCTAGTGTTCTTTGATCCCTTTCCGTTAGCTAATAAAATCCCTATCAAAATACCCAAGAGACTGACACACCAGCAATAATCCATCTATCTTGCACATGGGCAGGCACCCAGTATGGAGAATCCGATATCAATGCATGTTCTTCAAGGTTTTCCTCAGTTTCTCCACGTGAATACTCGACAGAATCTTCAAACATACCTACTTCAAAATATAAGTAACTGTCATCTTATACCTCATCTCAGATGTTCTGTGACCCTATTAAGTCAGTGATCAAGACCACCAGGCCCACATTGCAGAATTAAAAAAAAGACGTCAGGCAGATCTGGCCAGCGATACAGGATTATAAAACTGAAATGTATTTATATTGAGAAGCATACGTGTTTCTGCACACACATTCGGTAATATTTTACCCTAGCATGACAATAAATTATGGCAGATACGCATCTCCAATAATATAACAGAAAAAAAGAGAGAAAGAATCAGTTCTAAGACATTCACGACAGTGGATACATCGTAGGACCTGAGGTTCCCACAGAAGTGAACATGAAAAAGTTCCAGAGGTCTCTGATGCCTCTACTGCCCTGATGATGGGGGCAGCAACGATCTCTGGAACATTGGTAAACTTCCACTATACTTCATGGCACTACAAACCAGAAGACAGCCACCTTTGCGAATACGCTGATTGTGCGGTCTGCTGGGTTTTGATGCCACACAGTCCAGTAGGTAGTAACCAATACTGTGGAGGATCATATTGCCTCCCATCTTCAGTGTAGAAAACAGAGGTTGTAAGTGCACGTGAAACAGTGATTATTTACGATTTCTTTCAGAATTATTCGTGCTGAACTGATAAACATGATGCAGTTTACAATTTTACACAACTCAAAATAACCTGGGACAGTCAACTGTACCCGAGTTTTCAAAATATTTAAAAACATAAAAACTTACGATTGATCGAGTAATTAATTACAAATGCTAAGTTGAGAAGGGTGCAGAAGAATACTGTTATAGCCTTTTATAAGACATGAAATTATGTATTTACCTGGAGAAACTGAGGAAAATTATAAAAAATCTCAGCCAGGACAGCCAGTTTTGTAATTAAGTTTCAAACCAATGACCTTTTGATTATAAAAGTCCTAATAATTACATTGAAGTGTTCAATGTAAGTATTTAAAATCATCATCATACTTATGACATTACAGAAATACAAATTTATTTTCCTTTGCATGACAAACCAAGTTATATATGCATATAAATAAATTTAAAAGAGATTAATAGTTTTGCATATTTTAATCTTCCGTTTGTAAAGAGCAGATAATAACAAAAAATAACGTAACAATCATAAAAATTGGAGATCATTAATTAAGTTCCCTATGACCATTAACAATATGCAGATTTGAAAAACAAGGTATCTACTGCGAGTATTTTGACCATCTTGTTCTACAACCCCAAAACAATTTCTGGACGGAAAACTGAGCTTCCCATAATAAGCCACATGTGAGTTGTGCAGTAGTGTCTCAGAGCAGTGAATGTAGGGGGTGGGGCTAGACGGTGGTCTCCAGTACCTCTTGTGTGGGGAGTGCGATGAGAGAAGTGGGTTCGGCAACCACGCCACGACGTGTCAGCTCGGGATCAGGCCACGTAGCTGACGAGACACCAGTGAGAGGAGAGTTGTGTGCTGACACTGATGTACCAGAAGACAGTATAGAATCATTGGAGCTCGATGCCCGTCTCCGCATCGACTCCTCCGAGGAACTTGATTTAAGCAGTTCGTGCTTATCACGATCCTCGTCTCTGAAAGTACGTGATTCTTGTTAAGTGCATTTCAACAACATTAAACTGAACCATTCCAAATATACTATGTGAAGGCCTGATGATCACATGAAGCCATGGGATACAGTCTTATAAAAAATAATCACGTAGATGATAACAAAATTAATAATGAGTACTTTTCTACAAGATTACACACAATAACCAAGCAGACAGCACTCTAACATACAACACCACTGTAAATAACACTCACTTAATCTTGAGCATAATGTATTTGTCAGGTATCAGGCCTTCTTGACCATTAACGCTCCCCCGCCACCAGTCACCAGATACTTGGGAGAACAGAATGACGTTGTCACCCTTCTTAAAACTGAGCTCCCGCTCTGAGCGGGCCATGAAGTCAAACTGTGCAGTTGCTTCCAGGCACTCGGACTCTGCGACACAAAAAATTAAATATCTCAAAATTTAATCAATTATTAGGTGTTCTTTATGATCAGTTACAAAATTGTTGGACTCTGTGAAAAGGGGGCAGAGAGAGAAGGGGGGGAAAAATGAATAAATAAATGAGTTCTTATATGGCTTCAGTAAGGGTTCACTGTTCTGCCTAACTAGTATCAACACACCTACTAGGAACTACTTTTGTCTTCATACTAGAAAAATGCACTTACCATCTTCTGAAGGATAAACTTCAGAATCCATGTCTTCTTGGACATGGTCAGATGGCGAGTCCCCAACATCACTGAAAAACAAATACAAAAGTACAGTTACAATCTAAATAAGATTTGAGGTTCTCATTGCGGTGATTGCAAGGATGACGGTCTTCTAAGTTGCTGCGCTGTGTAGTCTGGTAGAAGCTTACCAACATTTCAGAGGTCCTTGCTGCCTCCATCATTAAGGCCCATACTCACCACCCTGATGACAGAGGCAGCAAGGACATCTGAAATGTTGGTATACTTTCACCAGACTGCATAGCACTACAACCCAGACAATCATATTGGTTAAGGCTGGTGCCACACGACCATACAAAGTACATCCGTTGTAATGCACATCGTGACGTCCGTCATAGAATTGTGAAGGGGCCTATAGGGTACAACAAGTCCTAAACTGAACATTTATTTTATCTCTTTAATTCCACTTCAAGCTTTCGTTACAATCCCTCCATTCCTCAAAATAATGTCTTACTTTTCGTCTGGTTCCCGGCTAATATATTTCTCATACAGTAGCCCACCATCGATCGGGAAGATCTCTTCATTGAAGAGGATGATGTTTTTGATGAGCTCGTTCACCTGGTTCTGGTACTGGACTTGATCCTTGTCTTCTGGCACTGGGACAAGAGTTGGACCAAAACAGATGGCCAGATTATATGGATCCATCATGTTCTCATCACTAAATTCTGACAAGCTGCAACAGAAGGGAGATAATTAATATATACAGGGAAACAAAATATGTCTAGCAACTTCAAGTTCTCATGGCGACGAGTCACCAGCCAGTCATTTTCACCACAGAATCCTTCCCAAATCATAATTATCTATCTCCTGCCATCTAATGTAACACATGCCACAGAGTTGACTAAGTATCAATAAATAAAACAACATATAAACAAGCATTTCAGTAATACTCACTGGTTGAGGAAGGCAAACAGATATCTCATTACTATCACTACAGATCTTGGAAGACTCTGGACTAGATCTCTCATCTTCACTACGAAGTCATGTTTTGACTCTAGCTCTGAAAAACAAACATTAGTACGTGTTTTGTCAAAGTACTGCACTACAGTTATATAAATGCACATCAAAACACCTTGTTCCTCTGAAGCAAACTGCGTCACTTGGAATTCATTAATTGAAATTTCAACAAATTATGTCTATGGATGTCCTCCCAGCTTTCAACTGATGATGAACTTTGTTCTGATAACACTCGAAACACTCACGTGCTAATTCCATGAAATGTTCGAAGTAGATAATCGGGAAGAGTGGCTCTCGCAGTTCGCGGAGGTACAGTTTTAGGACACCCGCCACAGAATTGATGTCTGACGCATCAGTCACGTCAGCCAACGGATCCTCGCCGCGCTCAAACGACTCTCGGAAATTGTTAATCTCAACCTGAGATCCTGACACCCTGAAGATACCCTGATGGTGGAGTCCTGTAAGAGTGTGCCTTTACTGCTACCCAAACCACATTCAAGAGAACATTTTGTAATAGCAATAAAATCTTGTTTGGCTCAGTTTTATTATGTCATCATCCTGTGCTGCTGTTTCATTCTTAAAGTAGTTCTGTTCTTCATACATCAAATAACTCAAAATTGTTTCACCAATTACAAATTTCAGACTTTGAAAATGTCTACATTTCTTTGTATTTGTTATAAAAAGAACATTTTCAGGACAGCAATTTTTAATCTTCAATTTTATTTCATTCTCATCATTCATTACACGCACGTACACAATCTTCTTGAATCTTTTATGTTAGACAGAAACACGGCTGCTTCTACACCAGGCAAAGATCTTCGAAGAAAAGTATTCATGCACCAAAGGGAAACAGCTTACTAAACCCTCTACAACTGCATTACTACCCACCATATAAGTTGATGACTCTGATACAGCTCTTCATGATGAGAGGAATTTCCTGATTGGTCGTTTCCAGGTATTCTTCCAAACTGCCACCGAACAGCTTGGGCTGACCATTCATTTGAAGTCGTCCTATCCGTTTACGTCGAGGTGGTTTGGTGGTCTGTCCAGTGTGAAGCTGCTGAAGACCCTTTAGGGAGGTAGGCGAGTCACCAGCAGCATCCAGTAAGGTCTGGCGGATATGTTCCTGTTTTGCATCGAGTCGTGCAATACGGCTTGTACCGAGGATGTACTCACGAAATTTCTGCACACAATACATTGAACGTACATGATGATCTCTAAATTTAATTTTCTTTCAGTTCATAACCATACAATCAGGAACATTCCAAACGCTGTAACAAACCTGTGGGTATTTTGTCAATAAATCAAAGTGGCGTAAGGCAAGCTATAAAAAGGCACAATGAAATGTTCCACACCACAAAATAGACGTTTCCAATCATACCACACCACAAAGTTGGTTTAGTTTGTCCCTAAATGTTGCCAACCTACCACTGTCACAGCAAACTCACCGTAAGATAGAATTCCTCCGTCTCTTGCCTGTCTGCTCTCAGTTTTATCGATACCGTCTCGAGAGGTTTCTGCACAGGAACGGCACCCTCACCAAAGTAACCATTACAGTAAAAGTCCTTTGAATTCAGCATCTTGAGGAGGGTTGTCTCTGCTGTCTCCAGCGTCTTCCACACCTCTTCAGACTCTGTTCGCAGGGATGTTACTCGATTCTGCAACTGAGTCAGTCGAGCCTCCAGCTCATCCCGGAGGGTCTTCTGCAACTCAGGTTCTGGTCCCTGTAAAAAGAAATAAACAATGTATGTCAATGGACCATTATGATAAAATGCAGAAGACAAAATCAGAATATTAACGACAAAGACAAAATTTGGTCAGAAGTTAAGTAACAACTAAGGACTGACAGTGTTGTATCAATACACCGCTTTTATATACAACATCACAGCCAAGTGAACAGCACTTCTGCTCTGTGTGCAGAAAAACCCAGGTTCAAATCTTGGCCAGAAAACCAGATATCCTGGTTTTCCTTGGTACCCTCAGAAAAATGTTAAAATACTACTGCAACTCAGACCACAACCACTTCCTTCTATACTCTTATACTTTCCAATTAATATTCTTTTTTGGCCAATCACCCAACATTACACAGTCCGAGCTACTGACAGCAGCATATATACAAAACAAATGGGGCACTTTTTCAACACGTGGCTTAATTTACATCAATCCACTAAATGTTACCGTTGCACAAGCAGTTGCGAAATAAGGACAAATGTTCGTTCCTTCACTTTCTATCAGGAATTTCCTGACAACTAAATTTTTAATATGCCCCATGTAAAATTGTGAATCTCCAATGCGCATAATTATAACGACGCTTCGTTTTAATTCCATACCCGTTTCAGCACCGCAAATAAACATGTCCAGACAAGCTAGCAATACCGAGATACAGAGCAATGAACTTACCTCGTCTCGCTGTCCCTGGAATTCAAACTTCTTGGGAATCATGAATGCTGTATGGTTGGACTCTAGGAACCTTTGTTTGTCGAGCCGTGAATCCAGACTGTTAATGCAGCTGTACATCTGCTCCATACCCGCTTGCACAGATATCTTGCGTGCTTCTTCTGCTGACATGTGCATCAGTAACGCACGTGACATGCACAGATGGAAGCCGAAGTCCATGCACTAAAAATGATTAATAAATTTAGTATGGTACCCTCTGGATTATAAAGACAGCCATAAACACACTTCTACATGACCATACAATCCATCTGGGATAGGAACTTATTGTCTTTATTCTCTATTTAAATCTCAAGGGCCTGCCCCTCGACCAAAGAAACAGATTACTTACTCAACTAAATTAATATGCATTACAGGAATGTCCTTGACAGACAGACAGACACACAGTTATTCAACTGGCAGTAAGTCTTATAACTAAAATAGACGACACCTTCTAAATTCTTATCCATTCGTCACACACAATTTCAATAACTTACGTCAATGAGATCTTAAAATAGACCACATCCACTTCCTTCTGAATTCTTATCCATCCATCACACACAATCGCCCTCCCATTCAACACCATATTACCTATGAATATGAGAAAGCGTAATTAAATATAACAAAAACAAACATCAACAGTAAATCAGTTTTACTGTAAATTTTTACTCAAGGGAGGAAAGGAGGCTTTCAAGTCATTACTCAAAAATTCAATAGCCTTATGAAATGTACAGCCATTTCAATGAGTTACACTTTAGATAAATTTTTACGCAGCAGAGACTACAAAAATTTCAATAACTTACGTCAATGAGATCAGAGAGGTCGTCCACAAAATATTTGTGGATTGTCGTGTTTGCAGCCTCCAGACAGAGGACATATTCATTCCGGGCCTTCAGAGCCTTCAGCTTGGCATCATTGTACTTGTTCTTGCGCTGAAAGTACACAGTGATATGGGAACTTAGATGTCATTATTTATGCCAATCGAATAGATAACTTAAGTGACATGTAAACGCCTTACTACGTACTTAATACCTGTAACAGCTGTTATGTTAAGCAAACAGAAGACACATAATACTTCCCATACTCCACCTTCATTCCCTGTTTGGTAAGCTAATATTACACTGTTTAGTCACTAAGCCAATACATAAAGCAAAGTGCAAACAAAGTGCACACAGAACATGATGAACTCCCATTCCACGGAGAAAGTAAGTAGTTACATTCTGACAGGATTAAAACTCTCGGCCACAATCAAGTAACTATTCCACACAGCTGTATCTTCCTTGACAGGATGGTTGTTACTCCATCTACATAAGAAACTTGGGTACTTGTGGGTTATCGGGACACAAAACGGGGGAATCAAACATCTGCAGTTGGATTCGTATTTATCCGAGTTCATGTGGCGGCGTACAGATGATAACGGCGATATTTTTAAGACGATTCTAAAATCTATAAGCGAATTTTGGCCTCCGGAGACGGTTAGTACCAACAATTAACATCTCATGCATATCCAAATAATATATAATAATTTGTCATTTATTGATATAAAATATAAAACGAACTGCGCACTGCACAGCACAGTACAGTAGGCTTCAAAAATCACTCCACTAGTCCTAATCAGCACACGAACCCAGAAATCATGGTATTCAGATTAATAATGCATGCATATTTCACATCATGCAACACTTCTATATAAATATAAACATGCAGAACAAGGTGCTATAAAAAGTTCCTAACTAAAACTATGCAAATGCATTCTACTGCCAATGTTAAAACCAACAAGGTGCTTCCGCTCATTATAAAAACAATGTGCTTTCATCTTTGGAATAGTGAATTTTTCTTGTGGAGAAACAGTGAAAGAGAGGTGAAGAGAGAAAGTAAGGACAGGTGATGAAAAGAGAGACACCGTAGGAGGGAGAGAGGGTGGGGGATGGGGAGGGAGAGTAAACGTATCAATTTCTGCTGTTGACAGCCGGCTTCCGTGATAAATTCAAGCTACCACACTCTCTCAAAGGGAAGAGATTACAGAATATAGTGCAGTAATATGGGTTGCCACGAGAACCCCAAATCTCAGTTTTTTCAATCATACTGTTACTTTCCCTCAAAAGGTCCAAATATCATCGTCTGCAAATTTTCAAAACACTCTCAATCAGAGTCAAACAACACAGAAAATTAACATAAATATTGTAGTACTCACTTTCTGTACCTCCTTCTCAATGAGGCGGTACTTCTTGGAGCGATCCAGCTTCTCCCGTGGCAGGCTCTGCTCCAACTTGAGACGTTGGTTCTCGGCAATCCTGAGCTTATTCTCTGCTTGTCGGTACTCTCCCTGGTAACTGTGGTAAGTCTTCATCGTTGTGTGGAGCTCGTGAAGCACTCGCAAGATCTCCTCGTGGGTCTCGTACCCAATTTCACGACACTGCGTGGGCAGAAACATGCTTTAGTTTATGTTGCAACATTTCACAATACGTCCATATTGATTACAGCACGATTATGCTTCACACTGTCCACTGTCTGAAATGTATTTTATATACAACCCGCCAACAAATCGGGCATCACTGCCCTATAAATCATTTTATTTAACTGAAACTACCTTACGCTGAGATCAGCCAAGGGCCAGTCCCTAAGAACTCCAATGGGGGGTCTGGGATTCATAACATTCATGAAGTTTTGCTCGTCAGAGGTGAGGCGACACAAAAGTCGGCACTAGTTGCAGTCAGTCTCAACTCCGAGACCTCTGCCAACGTTCTGCCCTTACCAAATCTCCAAATTTTCTGTGTGCATCAAACCACTGGACAGCACACATTAAATTCCACAACGGCAATAATGCCAACATCTTGGCTATGCTAAATTGGGTGTAAAAATGGTGACAAATCTTTAAAGAATATCTAACTTTTCTTCAGGTATGAGACTTGAAGGTTTTCATGGCAGACAAGAAATATGAATTCTGGTCTTCTCGGTTATGACGCCACGAAGTCTCGTAGGTGGTAGAATATGAAACAACGAAATGATGACTTGCGTGATACCTGCGTCTACCTTCTGGTCAGTGATGATAACAGATGAACCTTTAATGACAAACCAGTTCAAATCCTTAACATCCTTTTTAATACAGTAGTCTCATCTAAAACTTCATCTGACAAATTACCATTTTTGAATAATTTTCTAACAAAATTCAATAGGCAATCACTGTTTCCCGCAAACACATTACGTGCCCCGTTAAAAACAATGTCTTAAATTACCCTGCTAATACCAGATGCATAAATGTCATGACATAAGTAAGGTTGGTTCCATGTTCCAGAAAATATCTTCCTTAAATTTACTGATGATGACAGACAAATGCAATTTCACAATATGGCACCCACTCCACGCGTGCTTCGTTAAAGTGGTGCCAGTAACAAGTGATGATGACCCTGAGAGGTGAATTTCATCTGTCATAATTATAACTGCTGTCTGCAAGGTCAGCAACTGTGTAATTATGGCATCAAAAGTCAATTATTATCTGCCATGTGGACCCCATCAGCAGTAAACACACATTAATTTACAGTTTATAGCTCTCGCATCCCAATAAGAAAGTGTACAACACATCATCTGTAAGATAAATATAATTTCAGGCCAAGAGAAGTGAGAATTAAACAGCACAGCGTAGAAGGCAGAAAAAAACTTATCTGGGAAGTCTTAAATACTAAGAAGCACACCCCAACTGTGACATTCAGTCTCTCAGAACAGTATCCAAACATTAAAAGTCTGCAGTTTTAAACGTCGTG